TAAAAAGATCAACCCTTAATCATACTTCTAGGTATAGAACAGCATACCAATATTGGATATTAAATCTTATTCTATTAAAGCAATTGCAAAGTGGATCTTTTTGTGAAATGCGTTTTTAATTACAAATAAAAATACCAATGTCCTATTTATACAGATCTGTTAATAACGTCTCTTCTTTAAACCAATTTTAGACACAATAATTAGTTGAACAAAGGATTTACAATATTCACCTGTGGAAAATATCAATAATATTAAAGTACACTCACTTTTTGAAAAAATTTTATTTGCAAGTAAACCTTATCTTAAATTTAACTTAGGTAACTACATAAAAAATAGAAAAGTTGACTTATTTGAAATCTTTCACTAAATTTTAATATGACTAAGACAATAAAACGGCAGTAAAATGTTCAAAAATAAGCCATTATAAAGAATAAGTTATAAGCAACTTTTACATGCATCTAACAACACAACTGTAAACATTAACAAATTCCAAAAAAAAATAAACAAAAATTCAATTAAATAAAGTCACCGATTATGACAATAAAATATTTATTATAAAATATTTATAAATTAAAGTAAAAGTAAAAATGTCTTCTAATGATAAAACAATATAAAAAAAATAGTAATTGGTTATTTAAAGCTTAACACTTTAAAAATAATAGGGATGGTCAAAGATCTATGAGACCAGAGCTGAAGAATAATTAACTTATTAATCCAGTGAGAATCTAGGTATATCATTAAGTATCTTGAATGGAACTGATTTAGAAAACGACCAAATAATGGAAAAGACAGCAACATAGATGCTTAAGGAGGTCCTTTCGCCACCAATGTTAAATAAAAAATATTAGATTATGACTAAAATGAATTTTTTTCTAATAGTAGATGTCCTTATTTATCTAATAGTGAACTTTTAACTATACCTTACCGTGCAAATTTTTGAGAAATTTTTTTTTTAAAAATGTGTGTGTTTGTACACTGTCTTATGAGAAAGTAAGACTTCAACAACAATTTTCGAATTATAATTAATTTTACTATTATTTATTGATTAGATGGAGTAGAAAAAAACTAAAAATAAGGTTTTTGAAATATTTAGGTTTTGTTTTTTACAATAAAATATATAGGTTACCGTGGAATTTATTGAGAAATTATTATTAAAAAATCACAAAAAATTTTCAACTAGATTACTTGAAAATTTGTTGTGATTTTTTAATATTAATTTCTCAATAAGTTCCACGGTTTACTATATATATTTTATTGTATAAAACAAAATCTAAATATTTCAAAAACCTTCTTTTTAGTTTTTTTCTACTCCATCTAATCAATAAATAATAGTATAATTCGAGAATTGTTGTTGAGGACTTACTTTCTCGTGAGGCACTGTACAAATACTCACATTTTTAAAAAAAAATTCTCAAAAATTTGCAAGGTAAGGTATAGTTAAAAGTTCAGCATTAGATAAATAAGGACTTCAACTATTAGAAAAAAATTAATTTTAGTCATAATCTAATAACTTTTTTTTTAACATTTGAGGCGAGAGGTGTGGCGAAAGGACCTCCTTAAGAAGCTTGTCTTACATAAAACTACTAAAAGTAGGAACTCATAGATAGTGATAGGATCTACAGAAATTTCACTTTCAGTGATATCAATTTAGTATCTCCTAATACGTTAAGGCAATGACCAACCATAAATTAGAGTAAAATATCCTAATGGAAGGGGCAAGTACTTGCTTTGACAATAAAATCTTTATTAAAAATATTTTTAAATTATAGTAAAAGTAACAATATTTTTTAAAGGTAAAACAAATAAAAAAAAATAGAAATTAGTTGTTTAAAGCTTAACAATAGAAAAAAATAGAATGTCAAAGATGCATAAGTGGTAGAAACTATCTTTACAGCTTTTGAACAATTGACTAACACTAAACATATTGGTCCAGTTAGAACCTAGGTTTATTACTCACTGATTTCAGGACATCATTTAAACCGAAAACGACCAAATAATGGAAAGAAAGCAACTTAGATGCTTAAGAAGCATGTCTTACAAAAAAACCACTCAAAGTAAGAATACCAGATAAAAGATCAAAAACCTATACATTCCTCAAATGCATTTATCTTCAATTAATACTGTGCCAACGTTGAAAAATCTAATGTAGGTTTATCCAAACGGTAAATAGAAGAAATATTCAAATAACATAGATTTGTTTATGATGATCAGATCAAAGTTAGTCTGCTAACGATAGGATCTACAGACTGCCTAAAATGATATCACCAATTACCTAACACTAAACATATTAATCCAATGTCAACCTAGGTATATCATTCACAAATATTTTGTTAGAAAACGACCAAATAAGACCAAAAAAGACATCAACTTAGATGCTTAAGAAGCATGTCTTTAAAAAAACCACTGAAAGTAAAAATACAAAATAATAGATCAAAAACCTCTATACATTCCTAAAATGCATTCATCTTCAATTATTATTACCATGCCAAACGTGCAAACGATAAATGAAAGAAAGATAACATCTGTTTATGATTATCAGATCATTGTTAGTTTGCTAACGATAGGATTTTCAGAATATTTACAGCCAGAGACTGTTTATTTCTATTACGAAAACTAGCCTTAAGTGATACCTCTAGTTTAGACACAGAACAGCCATTAATCAAAGTAAAGTCTCCTAATGGAGGGTACTTCCATTTTGTTTGCGTACCCTTGGTCACCATTTTAAATGAGGAGTTTACAGGCGTTAGTTGTGAAAATACAAACAGTAAATGGAAGAAAGATTAAAATAACATAAATTTGTTTAGGATTATCAGTTTGCTAACGATTGGATCTACAGAATTTTTACAGTCAGTGACTGTCTCTTTCTGTTGCAAGAACTTTGTAAAATCTCCTAATATATAAGTAGTTGCATTTTGTTTGTTCACCCTTGGTCGCAATTGGTGTTATTGGTGCTATAGGTATTTAGTTTGAATATTAAATTGCATTGGTTCGAGTTAAAAACATTTATATACATTTTGTGCTTTTGTATTTCATTAAAATATGGCGCAGTCAGTAGGATGGAAGAAATGTTTGGAGGCTCCTGTTACACACCATAACTACTCTCACAATCGCTATCTAGGATGATCACCAAATTATAAACCCTTTGCAAAAACTATTGTATTACCAGATGATACATCATTAGGACAAGAAATAGAAATCAAAGAAAAACTTTAAATAAAATGCATACAAATAATACAAAAAAAATATATTAAGACTTCATAATTAAAGAATTGTTAATTGGATTGTAACTCAAAATCAGAAAGTTGGAAAATAATTTCTTGTTTGAAGACATTTCAAAATTTTAAAAATATACTATTAAAAATCGATTATAACTGTATGCAACAAATTTGAGAAAATTTCATCATCAAAATATTGATTATTTTAAAAGGAGGAGTATATGAGAAGAGTACCTTATATACAGGGTGTTCCATTAGTGCGTAATTGTCCAATATTTCAATTTGTGTTATAGACACTTAAACAAGTTTAAAATAAAAGTTATATGAATTTTAAAAATGCGTATTTTAAAAATATTTTTGGATACACAGTGTTGCGTTTTTGTCAGGCAAATACAAATGTATATTTTTTTAAATTGAACACCCTTTATTTTATTTCAGTTTTAGAACGGTTTGGTAATACTATATTCAACCCTTGAACTTTTTTTCAAAATAATTACAGGGTTGCCAAGTAATTAATTTTTTTTTAAATTAGAGAACGATACAATTCTCGAAATAAATAAATTGTTTAGTATACAGACTTATAAGATACTAAGCTGGCGAATAGTGAAGATAGAACTGGTTTATTTTATACAGAGTGTTTTGAAACATGTCTTAAATGTGGTGAATCTTAAGTTCAATTTATTTAATATTTTCAAATGCAATACCCTGTATGTTATTTTAGCTATTCTACGATACCAACCTGTTAGGCAATAACACATATACAGGATGTACCATCAGTGCGTAATTGATCTATAGCTGTTATATCATTGGAAATACGAACAAAAAAAATTTAAAAGCTGTATGACCATATTTAAAAATTATTCTTAAATATGCTGGGTGATCCATAAATGAGGGACTGCCCAAACCTATACATTTTTAAAGCAAAACTCCCTGCAAGTAGTTATACTTATTTGATTGTTTTCACATTGTCAAACAATTTTAATTGACTTCATTTATTTGCTATGTTGTATATAGGGTGTGTTAAAACGCGGTTACGATTTTCTTAACTTTTTACATGGTATTAATTAATTGGTGGTATAACATACAAGGTATTTGACGTCAATCTCACAAAGTTACATATCTCATTTTTCCTAATTTTACAGGAGAGCGATTTAAAGTTTTGTGCTGCGTTTGAGTAAGGACGTATGTCCCTCATGGAAGTTCCTATAGCTACGTAACGGTTACAGCTTGAGTTAAGCCACTTTGTGAGAAGGAAGATCTATAAAAATAAACTGTTTCTCCAGTCACATCTCATAAACTTAATAAAGCAGATTTCAAAGTGCCAATATTCTAGAAGTTGAGGTCAAGATTGGTATAATTGGATATGTCTCTTCCACATGAAACATCTTTATTGATATATTTTTTAATCCAAAGAGTAATTTCGGTATATTCCGTTGTTCAACATAAAATCTCACACAGTGCGTTAAAAATTTTGTTAAAATCTTTAAATTTATTTATTTTGTATGGATTTCTTTAATTTTTACCCGTCCTATTTACAATTCGATACCTAAAAAGTAACTAGTAGAATTTTTAAATACGCTCCTGATTTCTACCTCATTTAAAATGGTCACCTTTCAGAGATCAAAGAAATTTAGTTTCTCCTTTATGGTTGCTCTATGGTTAAGTTATCATGGATGGAGATAAAGTGTTTGCATGTTTATTTCAATTACTATTTTGTCAATAACCACAATCGGCGACTTTAAACAAAATAAGAAGAAGAAAAAACAGTAATATGAATAGAAACTCCTACTTCTCATTGCCATTTAATAAGTCTCTTAAAGAAACGTATTCAATGAATTCATCATCCTCGTCATCATCGTTTTCAACTTCAATGTTATCCTCGTTATTATTTTCACTAGTTGTAGCTTGATTATCTTCATTTAAAGATATCGATTCCACGCTCGCAGCAGATTTTTTCTTCTTATTCTTTTTGTGAGATTTTTTATGACTACGCCCTTCGGTTTTATTCTTTTTGCTTTTGTTCTTTGAGTTGTTTGGCAGCTTCTGGCATCGACCGCACGCGTATTTACCGCTGTCTTTAAACAACTGACAAACGTCGCAATTTTTCCCGTAATTGTACATGGTCAAAAGGAATTTTTCTTGGCAAGCAGGACAAGCGTACTTGCCTTGTTCCTTGAGTAATTTGCAAGCTTCGCAGGTTTTTCCGTAATTGTAAACTTTGTTAGGGGGTTCGTTTAATATTGAGCTTTTTCTCTGGCAGCCTTGACAAGCGAATTTGCCGCTTTCTTTAAGTAGAATGCACGCCTCGCAACTTCTGCCATAGTTATAGGGTTTATTATAATTGTAAGAACAGGAAGAAGAAGGACGGGAACTGCTCGCTATATGTCCCGGTTCTGATTTAACTGAATTACTTCTTGATCTCATTGCTCTATTAATTACTGGCGTTTGCAATACGACTTTAGCTTCTTTGGACAACATACTTTGCACAGCTACCTGCTTCTGTAGTTTTTCAGCCTCGTCATCCAAAAAGCTCTGGATCACATGTTTCTTTTTCTTTAAAATCGATAACACTTTCTTTTTCTTTATCACTTTAAGATCCGTTCCTTCAGATTTCTTGTGGCTATGCTTTTTATCTTTCCTTAGTCCTTTTTGAGTTGAGCGATCTACCATTTTAATGACGCGCGTTTGAGTGAATCTAGTTGTTTTGCCTACAAAATAATTTGAATTAGAATCAATCAAGTTTATTTAACTTTATGAAAAACGTTTCCAAAATTAAGCTAGAAAAATGTGGCCCCAAAATAAAGTTCAATCTTGCAAAGTACAGGAATGAGTAACTTAAAACCGTAATGGCATGTTTACAAAGAACAGTTTTCTTTTTCATTTACCATTTCATAAATTATTGACCTTGTTAGTCACATCACTATTCAGTCAGAATTTTCGAAAGTTGAATTTTCTGCGTCAAACTGTATTATGTTCACATCTTTTTTAAAGTGGGTTTGCTACAAAAATTTGACATATTTTACTGTGTGTCATTTTATTTTAATACTTTTATGATGCATTTAATGCTTAAGTTAAATCGACTAAGTTTGGCATATTTTTTTTTTAAATTCTGTAAGCCAAGATTAAAATAGATATGAACAGGATATAACGCTCCATTTATGGAAGAACGTCACAAACCAATAAATGCCAATTTTGAGTTAACACATACAAAAAACTAATATTACATCCTATTTTTATGGGAAAGATCGTCATAATTATTATTTAACACATTAACAATAGATGGAGGCAGTGTCGCTTTAATAACGGACCAAATTGACAACTGTATTATGTGGAAGAACGTCAGTTATTAGTTAATTCTTGTCGCAGTTTTGTGGAAGATCGCCGTAAGTTCAAAAAATTACTACGGGTAATTTTGTGAAAGAACGTCATAAGTAGAATTGTGTCGTTATAGAAGAGTTAAATGCTAAACTTTTCTGCTGCAAGTATAGGTAAAGATATCATATTATTAGTTGTGTGTATTTTCGAACTTTTAAGATTTAAGGATTACAGGGATAAATCGGAAACTTGTTGGGAAGCAATAAACTAAGCGATATTAAAATTATAAGAATTGATCCGTTTACAGTTTTATATTAGATTTTATATTATCAGGCCGACTTTATGAAATTTACCCTAAAAAATTATCATGGAAAAAATTAAATGACATTGACTCTTGAACCGGCATACAAATCAAAAATTAAAATTAGTGAAAACAAGCGATCAAATCTTTAGGAACTATTGAAAAAAGGGGGCCATTGCCTAGAAGTATGCAGATTTTTATATAAGTATTCTTTTTTCTGTCATTCAGTTTATATTCGGCTGTCGATAGGTGAGGATGTATGTTTATTAACTTTACTCCGTAACTAGGTCAATTTCTTTGTGTATGTAGTGTAAATATTTTTTAATCGCGACTGTTTAAAAAATCAACAATGATTGCTAAACGTAATGTTTAAGAACAAAAGTAAAAATAATAATGTGCCATTAAAAATAGTTTTACAACGGGTAGAAAAAAATAATAAAACAGAATCGACACCTGCCAAAGTGCTTCTGGAGCAAAAAAAACAGAACCTACTTCAGGTAACTCAAACAAATATAATATGGAAACAATGGAAGTGGGAGAAAATCTCCTAGCCCAACAATATCAGGCCTTATTTCATGAAAATCAAGCTAGAAGTCAGAATGAACAGGCATTGTACAATGCTTCGATACAGGAAAAAGCTGAAAAACACCAACTAGAAAGTGCATTGCAACAAATGCAAAACAATATGGAAAATATGCAAAAACAAATTAATATTTTAAATAAAGAAAAACCTAAAATTCCAACGAATTATGAAACTGATGAAGAAGAACTGACAAAAGAAATCGGCGATCAAATTAACAAAGAAGTAGAGTGGATAACAGCGTAAAGCAGAAACAATAGAAGAAAAAAAAAACGAAAAGCCAACTCCTCTCCAGAAACCTCTCCTGGCCAACCTGGAGGTAGCAAAAATCAACAACAAGATAAAGAAATAGTCGAAAAAACAGTGAAATTTCCCCCGATAATAGCAAGCAACATCAATAAGTATGAAGAATTGCGCCATACACTGGCAGAAAATAATATTTCCTTTCAAGCCACAGCTCTAAGCAATAACCAGTTTAAAATTAATACTAAGCAAGAAGAAGACTTTAAAAATGTCAAATCAACCTTGAATGCCAAAGAAATAAATTGGCATTCCTATGAAATTAAACAGAACAGAGACATTAAAGTAATGGTTAGAGGTCTACAATCTACATCTAAACCAGAAGATATTGCTGAAGACTTGCAAAGTTAAGGATTAAAATGTAAAGAAGCTGTCAATATAATAAAGAAGGAAATAGAATTAACCGAGGATAACACTCGTAAACTAAATAAAAAACCATTGCCGCTATTCATGCTATTATTCGAAAATATATTAAGAAAATCTACGAAATCAAAGCAATACTTAAACTAAGAGTAAGAATAGAAACCATAAGAAAGTCAAAATTAGTTCCGCAATGCAAAAACTGCCAGCTATTTGGACATATGCACAGCTTTTGCAAAAGAGAATCAAGATGCGTAAAGTGCGTAGAAAAACATCATACGAAGGATTGTGTAAAAAGTCCAGAACAACAACCGCAGTGTATAAACTGCCTAATGGAACATCCTGCTAACTACAGAGGATGTGAGGTAGCTAAAACCTTTCAGATAAGGAAGGATAATACCACTAAACCTAAAATAATGACGAGGCAGAAAAGATCCATAAACGCTTTTCCTACTGTCAGAAATGAAATAACATATTCTCAGGTAACAAACTCATAGCAGCAACCAATTCAAAGGTCACAACTAGGCATGAATCCCACGCCACAAATTGCACAACATACTGCACAGTCAACCAGCTTAGCATAAAGTACTACTCATGAATTATTATTATCCTTAATAACCAGAATATATTCACTCTCTGACAGGCTCCAGAAGCTAGAAGAATTAAACAAACCCCAAACATATAACAAAACCACCAATGGACAAAAGAGATATTAGAATAGCCATTTGGAATGCCAATGGTATTCCCCAAAAACAAACTGATCTCTAAGTTTTCTTGGACGTACAAAAAATAGATATGTCTGATTTCTGAGACCCACCTTACAACAGAGTCATACATTAAATTCAGAAGATATAACTTCAATCACACTATCCATCCATCAAATGCAGCAAGAGGAGGAAGTGCGTTAATTATTAAAAATAACATTTCCCACTATGAGAAAACAGGCATCCAAGAACCAGAAAATCAGGTAACCATTAGCACCATTAACATTAAGGGGGGCAAAATTACAATAGCTGCAATCTGTTATCCACCAAGATACAACCAGAAAAAAGAAAACTATATCAATGTACTCAAAAAACTAGGTAACAAATTTATAATCAGTGGAGATTACAACTCCAAAAACACCAACTATGGTTCCAGATTAACCACAGTCAAAGAAAAAGAATTGCACCAAGCTGCATCAGAGCTTTGTTGTACATACCAATCTTCTGAAAAACCCACCTATTGGCCCACCGACCCAAATAAGATTCCAGACCTTCTGGATTTCTTTATTCTGAGGAAAATTTTACCAAACTATACGCAAGTAGAAGAAAACTTTCATATGAATTCAGACCATTCTGCAGTAATCCTTACTCTAAGTGATAGTGTTATTCAAAAAGAAGCCAAACCGTCCCTAGCAAATCGGAAAACTAAATGGGAAGGTTTTCAAGAAGACTTAACAAATACTATTCAACTGACCATAACACTAAAAACGAAAAATCAGCTAGATGAAGAACTGGAAAGGTTTATAGTTGAAATCCAGCAAGCTGCATGGAGGAACACACCAAAAGTAAGAAGATTAACAGCTGGAAAAAACTATCCTGTCGAGATAAGAGAACTGACAGCAGAAAAAAGAAAACTAAGAAAGAAATGGCAGATGACAAGAACACCAGAAGATAAAAATATATTAAATAGGGCTACCCAAAGACTGAGAAGAGAAATCCTAAATCACATAAAGAATCCTTCAACAGACACCTAGTAGGGCTAACAAATGATAAAAAGAAACTGATTATTCACTCTGGAAGGCAACTAAAAAGATGAAAAATTCGTGTAAACACTGTCCTCCAATCAGAATAGCAGATAATAAATGGGCAAGAAACAATAAAAAAAAAAAGCTGATATTTTCGCTGACCACCTACAAAAGACGTTCCAATTAGATGAAAATCAAGACACTTCTAATGAGACCATCCATAATATGGAACAACTTAAAATTAAGCTAGTTACTCCCAATGAAGTTATGAAAGAAATTCAGACAAACATCAACTCACAGAAATCCCCAGGATATGACATTATTACTGGAGAAACATGAAAGAAACTACCACGGAAGGCTATTGTTAAATTGACATACCTTATAAATGCAGCATTTCGCCTTAAATATATACCTGATGCGTGGAAAATGGCTGATGTTCTCCTTATTCCTAAGCCAGGAAAACCTCTGAATGAAGTGTCATCATTTTTACCGATAATATCTAAGTTATTTGAAAAACTACTACTAAAACGACTAAAATCAATAATTAAAAATAAAAATCTGATCCCTTCGCACCAATTTGGTTTCAGAAACAAACACTCGACAATAGATCAAGTACACAGGATAACCGATATCATCGAAAAAGCTTACGAAGAAAAATATATATACTCAGCTATATTTCTTGACGTAGCCCAAGCATTTGACAAGGTTTGGCACGCTGGCCTAATACAGAGCTTGAAAAAAATGCTCCCTAGATAATATGTCGACATTATACAATCATATCTAACGGGAAGAATGTTTAGAGTAAAGCAAGACGAGGCATACTCCGAAATGAAAGAAATTAAAGCAGGTGTCCCACAAGGCAGTGTGCTAGGACCGGTTCTTTACTTATTATACACCAGCGATATCCCTTGGCGGAACTAATACAGAGACCTCAGAAAAACTTCAGGAAACCTGCAACATAATCAATCGATGGACAAAAAAAGGGGAAAATAAAAATAAATCAAACTAAATCAGTGCATGTTGATTTACTCTTCGACCAAATGAACAAAAACAAATAAGAATAAACAATGACATTATTCCGCATCACGATTCGGCCAAATACCTAGGGATGTAAGACTTAAAT